ATTAATTTTTTTGATGATTTTATGATGTTTTAATGTTTTTTTTAAAATAATTTTTTCATTTTTTGATCGAAAAATGAAAATTTCGAGGGAGAAATCATTTAGTGAATGATGAAGGAGATATGTTTGATTGTGAGGAATATATTCACGAGTTTGAGCGGTTTATTTAATTTTTTTTTTATTTTTTAAAGGTTTTTTTCGATGTTATTTGACGAAAAAACTAGAAAAACACGTTAATTTTGGGGATTAAAGCGTTGATCAACGTTTATTAATCAACTTGATCGGTTTGTTTATTATCTGGAAGATCAAGCTCACATGGAAATAAATAATTAGACGATTTTTAATAATTTTTTCAATTTTTTCTGTTTTTTTAAGTTTATTCCTAAAAAAAATGATAAATTCATTAATTAACACTCAATAATCAATTTTGTCAGTTTCCCCATGTTCCCAAGGTTCAAGCCCATTCAATCAAAGCATTATCATGGTTTTAAATCATTTTTACAATTATTTAAACATTATTTTCAATTTCATTCCTCAAAAAATCGTTAAAAACTGATAAATTCGATAATTAAATCGTTAATTAATGAACCTAATCACTTTATTTGTCATTTGTAAGTTCAATTCCACATGAAGAAATTAATTGTCATGTTTTTTTAAACATTTTTCTAATTACGGATTTTTTTTTCAATTTTATTCCTCAAAAAAAATGAAAAAAAAAATTTGTCAATTAAATCGTTAATTATCATCAATTAATCAACTTCATCATCTCCATAATTATGAACTCCAAGCTGACCTAATCAAATCTTCAAATTGTAAATTTTTTTTTTCAATAATTTGAAGATTTTTTCTTTTTTTTTCGTTCAAATTCATCAAAAAATTGATAAATTTGTTAATTAAACCATTAATTATCGTTAATTAATGCACTTAATCATTTCGGTCATCATCTGGAAATTCAATTCCACATGAAGAACTTAATTTTCAGGTTTTTCAAGCATTTCTCCAATTATTAAATTATTTTTTTTTTATTCTTAAAAAATTGAAAAAAATGATAAATTCGTTGACTAAATCCTTAATCATCATAAATTAATTAACTTCATCATCTTTTCCACGTTTATGAAGTCCAACCTCACCCAATCAAAGCATTTTCATATTTTTATATGATATTTCCAATAATTTAAATATCTTCAGTGTTTTTCGTCAAAAATCTTTTAAAAATTGATGAATTCGTTAATTAAATCGTTAATTATCATCAATTAATCAACTTCATCATCTTCTCTATGGTTATGAAGGTCAAGCTGATATAATCAAAGCATTCTCATGTTTGAATTATTTTTTTCAATAATTTAAACATTTTTTTCATTTTTTTTCATAAAAAAATCTTTAAAAAATCGATAAATTCCTCAATTAAATCCTGAATCATCATCAATTAATTAACTTCATTATCTTCTCCATGTTGATGACCTTCAAGCTCACCTAATCATAGCATTTTCATATGTAAAAATTTATTTTTTCAATAATTTAAACATTTTTTAATTTTTTTTGGTCAAAAAATCGTTTAAAAAATCGATAAATTCTTTAATTAAATCTTGAATCATCATCAATTAATCAACTTCACCATCTTCTCTCTGTTAAGGAACTCCAAGCTCACCCAATCAAAGCATTTTCATATTTTTAAATAATTTAAACATTTTTCAATTTTTTCGTCAAAAAATCGTTGAAAAAATCTATAAATTCCTCAATTAAATCCTGAGTCATCATCAATTAATCAACTTCACCATCTTCTCCCTGTTAAGGAACTCCAAGCTCACCCAATCAAAGCATTTTCACATTTTTAAATAATTTTCTCAATAATTTAAACATTTTTCAATTTTTTCGTCAAAAAATCGTTAAAAAAATCTATAAATTCCTCAATTAAATCGTCAATTACCATCGATTAACCCCCCAAATCACCGTGTCACTAAACCCCCCCTATTTCACCTCCAAACGAACACACCCCCAAAATCCAAATCTTCAATTTCCCACTCCCCTACCTTTTTCCCCAAAAAGCGAAGATCCTTTTACAACAGCAACGCAATCCATACAAACCCCTCCAGACCTTATAATACACTCTGCCCTCAATGAAAAAAAAAACCCGTCAATTACTCACAATCGCAAATGTTTATTGCTTTATTTCGTTACCTCCACACCTCAAATGCATCACCTCAATAAAAAAAACGTCGCGCCCAATAAACAGTTACTACTCATTACTCCACCATCAATCATCATTTCCATTAATCTCTCATCAATTACTACATCCCATTGTCAATAAAAATCTCAGCAGTTATGACACATTGCTCGTTTTTTCATCTATCTCATTACAATTAGCAAATATTAAGACAGTAAATAGCTAGAAGGGACCGCGCATTTTCTCAATTCATCTCGTTCTATTGATTTTTACCGCCAATTGTTCACAATGATTTTACCAAACGAGATGTACTGCCTAGCGATCATGGGACGCCATTGCCAAGTGATTTGCTCCAATTTCTTGATTTTTTAAATCGATAATTGCATTATCATCAAGTGAATTAAGAAGATAACGAATTTCTGTTCAAGTCCAATCAACTCCAAATCGGTTATTCACCGACATCTCGAGAAGTTGTACAGATAGATCGATGAGTCTGGGCTCGTTAAACTCGTCGGAAAATTCCCGATCCAAAAACCTGGTCATGGGTCCATTTTGCCCCGCAACTTTTGCCGACACGGGGAAAAATCGTTTTCGCGGCGAAAAAGTGATTTCCCATCTGTTGGGTAAACCACCGGGGCAAAATGGCTTCATGACCAGGTTTTTGGATCGGGAATTTTCCCGCCGATCTGGTGACATCGGGCTTGTCGATCTGCGACCGATAGCTGTCGAGATATCGAGGTTTTTCTGATTCAATTGCGTCTTGTTTGGAATTATTTGATGGAATATTGCTATCTTCTTATGTCACTCGATTAAACTGGTAATTATCATTTTCTTTTTAGGTTTTTCTTTGAATTGTCATGCCTATAGCCCCACCGTCTTGAGTTTTTAAATCGATAATTGCGATAGTATCAAGTGAATTAAGAAGTATCAAGTGAATTAAATCGGTTATTCACCGATATCTCGAGAAGTTGAACAGATAAATCGATGAGTCTGGGCTCGTTAAACTCGTCGGAAAATTCCCGATCCAAAAACCTGGTCATGGGTCCATTTTGCCCCGCAACTTTTGCCGACACGGGGAAAAATCGTTTTCGCGGCGAAAAAGTGATTTCCCATCTGTTGGGTAAACCACCGGGGCAAAATGGCTTCATGACCAGGTTTTTGGATCGGGAATTTTCCCGCCGATCTGGTGACATCGGGCTTGTCGATCTGCGACCGATAGCTGTCGAGATATCGAGGTTTTTCTGATTCAATTGCGTCTTGTTTGGAATTATTTGATGGAATATTGCTATCTTCTTATGTCACTCGATTAAACTGGTAATTATCATTTTCTTTTTAGGTTTTTCTTTGAATTGTCATGCCTATAGCCCCACCGTCTTGAGTTTTTAAATCGATAATTGCGATAGTATCAAGTGAATTAAGAAGTATCAAGTGAATTAAATCGGTTATTCACCGATATCTCGAGAAGTTGAACAGATAAATCGATGAGTCTGGGCTCGTTAAACTCGTCGGAAAATTCCCGATCCAAAAACCTGGTCATGGGTCCATTTTGCCCCGCAACTTTTGCCGACACGGAGAAAAATCGTTTTCGCAGCGAAAAAGTGATTTCCCGTCTGTTCGGTAAACCACCGGGGCAAAATGGCTTCATGACCAGGTTTTTGGATCGGTAATTGTCCCGCCGATCTGGTGATACCGGACTTGTCGATCTGCGATCGATAGCTGTCGAGATATCGAGCTTTTTCTGATTCAATTGCGTCTTGTTTGGAATTATTTGATGAAATATTGCTTTCTTCTTATGTCACTCGATTAAACTGGTAATTATCATTTTCTTTTTAAGTTTTTCTTTGAATTGTCATGCCTATCGCTTTACCGTCGCCCTTATCAATTCGTCATTTTCCTCCCCCCCTCCCCCTTTCGTCATTATCAGTGTAAAAAAGCCACATCCTCGTCCAGACATGATATCTCACTCTCGCACAACGAAACTATGAACTAAAGGAGAAATAAATTGACTAAAAATTGCTCTCCACTCTGGTGAGATTAATCACTGGCTCTCACGTGTAAATTTTTTTTTCACTCGGTTTGTTTATTTAAAAAGAGAAATCAAAGGCCGTTACAGTTATTTTTACGATAGCCATTAAACTATTGACTTACGACATTCTAGGGTGGATGATTGATTTATTTAGTGACTGGTGACGGTTCTGTCCCTAGGGTTTGAAAAAGAAACGTTTGCTCAGGGTTTTTGACATTTTTTTGGGGCTCGGAGGAGGATTCAGGCACGAAGTGGTGAGTCGATTTTTCGAGTTGTTGGAGGTGTTCGGTAATTTGGGAATTATCTCGGTAGGGGTGGGCTTTGGGGGAAATGTCGTAGAACACTTTCTGTGGGAAATTTAATTCTCTATAAACAATTTCTTGTTACTTCTTTTGATAAAACTACTCGGTAACGAGATAATTGGAGAATTAAAGAGGGAAGAATTGAAGACATTGAAATTTTGAGTTTTTTTTGTATTTGTTAATTTGTAGATCTCCGTAATCAATGGGTTCCAAAAAAAATGTCAAAACAGTTCTATAGGAAATTCAATTCTCGACAAAAATGTATTTTAACATTTCATTCTAAACCCAGTCATTGCTGAGATAATTAAACAATTCATAAAAATGCCAAGTTTCACGTGAATCATTCCAGCACTTGCAAATTGTTCAATTATCTCAATAACGAGGGAATTGACAGAAAAATGTCAATAGACTTTTTTGTACGAAATTTAATTCTCTACAAAAAATTTTCCGTAACTTTTTTTGATAAAACTACTCAGTAAAGAGATAAATAAACACTTAACAAACATCTTACGTTTCACTTGAATGATTCTATCACTCGCGAATTTTTGAATTATCTCAATAACGAGGAAATTCACAAAATAAAGTCACTAGACATTTTTGCAGGAAATTTAACCCTCTACAAAAGACATTTAATCACATTTTCCAATAAACCCACTCATTAACGAGATAATTAAACAATTACCAAAAAAATCCCGATTTCACTTCACAATTTCATCACTCTCTAATTATTAAATTACCATAATTATCTCAATAACGGTTGAATTCACAAAAAAAATGTCACGACACTTTTTGTAGAAAATTGAATCCTCTACAAAAAATTCCTTATGGCAAATCCCCCTAAACTCACTCATTGCAGTGATAAATCCGCACAAATCAAAACAGTTTCTCAATTCCACCACTTCGTCCCTGAATTACCCAACTCTCATTCCCATTTTATTTTCAAACTCATGATTTTTAATATTTCAAAAATATGGTTTGGCCTCTTTCAGTCGATTCTCGCCTCCCCCAGCTGCCAAATGTTCGCAATGGCCGTGGGGATTGAGATGTTGATGCCAAAAAAACATTTTCAGGAATTCGAAGAGAGAAAGGGGACAGAAGGTGACTAATTCTGATGGTGTGACGTAGAAATACAGATGACGATGATATTCTCTCAATATAATATCTCTCACACACTCACTCTATCAGAATGTGAAAAAAATTCACTCTTACGACTCTCGTCGACACTCGACACGAGGAGTTTAGCGGCGACGGGTTGCGGCATTTCCGCTTATTGTTTATTATTTATCTTGACATGAAGAATTTTCTGATGAATTTTCCAGTTTTTCTCTTCATGTACTGTTTTTGTTCTGATGATTTTTTTTTTTTGGATTTGTTATGCTTTGTTGATTCGCTGTTTTTTCATTATCTTGTTTAAAATAATCGACTGTATTATTAATTATTATTAGGTATTTGTAAATTGGGTCCCAGAGGTTACTGCAACAGAAAATCAGAGGGGAAAGATCAGATTTTTAGTTTTTACTGGGTTTCTTGGGAGATTGCTTTGTTAAATTGGTGATTAGCTTGGTAATGAGCGGGTTTAGGAGATAATGTCACTGAACATTTTTTGCAGGAAATTTAATTCTCCACAAAAAAGGTCAAAACGAATTTTCTCCTAAAATCATCCGTTATCGAGGTAAATGCGGGGAAATGTCAGCTGGATTTTGTTGCTTTTACATCACTAGAATCCATTTCTCAATTACAATTTCATGTTTATCTCGGTAATGAGTGAATTTAGAGTAAAATACCTGCAAATCATTTTCGTGGAGATTTAAATTTCCCACAAAAAACGTTTAATAACATTTTACCCTAAACCCACTCATTATTAAGATTACTGAACACTTAATAATGAGGCAAAAATGTTGAATTTGACTCCAGTAATTTTTTTCCAACTACAAAATGCGTAATTATCTCGTTAATGAGCGGATCTACAGCAAAATACCCTAGAACTATTTTTGTAGAGAATTAAATTTCCCACAAAAAAGTCTCATGATATTTCGCCCTAAACCCACTCATTACCGAGATAATCAGACTTTTAGTTACAGGGGAAAAAAAGATTTCACTGCAATTCAATTTTCTGGAGTTTGTCTAATGAACAAATTAATTAAATCACATTGTAACGCTTGAAAAATGTTTTTTTGTTGATCGGCTTCATTTCTGGGGTGTAATAGTGGGTGGCATCCGCAAACGAGACATCCAGTGATGCTTTAGGACCACAAGAGTAACGTGCAAGAGTTAAATGGAGATACCAGGGAAAGGCATGCGGCATTTCTTGGTCTTTTTTAACGAGGCGTCACCGAAGGAGGCAGTGCGAGTGGATTAAAATAGAATATTCGGTGGCGAGGGCCAAGTGATTCAAAGTTGGAGACCACGGGGAGATCTCGGATTTCCGTTGGCCTCCAGCGGAAGAAAAAAATAGAAATAAAGGGGGATAGTTTGACGTTAAAACAACTTAAAATCAGCAAAATGAATCAATGACTAGTCAAAATCAGTCAATTATCTAAACAGTATGATTAAACATTTCCAAAAAAAATTTTATGCAGTAAAAGAACCAGAAAAAAACGAAAATCAAAGAAAAACTCAATATTTTGAAGGGGAAATTCAAAGTGCAGAGAGACGTGATGATTAATGTTTTAACATTTTTTTCTCATGAATTTTGTGAGGGTTAAAGATATTTTTGAAAATCATAAAGTGTGAAATATTGAAATTAAAAAATCTTTTATCGAAAAAAATTGGAGTTTTTTTTCATAACAATTGAAGAAATTAGAAAAAATGTAGCCTACCCTTTCTGACTCTTGAACAATTTTTTAATTCAGAGAAAAATGTCAAAATAGATGAAAAAACGAAAAAAGAATCTACAAAATTGAAAAAAAATTGAAATTTCAAATTGAAAATTCAGTGTTTTTCTGTTTAAACAAATTATGAAAATTTGGAAAAATTGTTCTAATCCGCTGAGACGGTGCACCCAGTAAGAATCCAAAAAATTCGCTGTTTTATGTAAAAATATAAATTTGTTGCTGTCTAAAATTGTTCTTAAAAAATCTAAAAAAACATTTTCTGTTGCGAAAATTATGTAACCAATCGCCCTCTCACTCTAAAAAAAAATTCAAATCTTAAAAAGCGCTAAAACTACTTAAAAAACAAAAAAAAATCTCGAAACTCTCTTAAAATGAATTGTGTACTCGAAAAAACAAACTCAAAATTATACAGAGAATTATTTCAACTATTATTCATTCCTCAAACCATAAATCTATTGATAAAGAATTAAAATTTCATTTTAAAAAATAAAAAATAATGATAAAAAATTGAAACGAATTTTGAAAAAATTGAAATGAATTTAAGGGATTTTTTTCGCAATTTTTTGTGATTTTGGGAATTGGATCAAAAAATTTGATAGTTATGAAAAATTGACAATTTTTTGTATACGCAGAGACTGTAAAAAAATGATTAAACATTTTTTCGGGTTTTTTTCTAACAGTTGAAAGCGTTTTAAATTATAAAATGTAACAAAATCTATACAAATTATACACAAAATTATTCTAGCTATTATTTATTGTTTAAAACATATATCTTTTGGTAAAAAACCATTAATCCATTTTTAAATATGAAAAATAACAATTTTCGTCTGATAAAAGTGCAAACTCAAGGGATTTTTTTTGCAATTTTTTGTGATTTGGGAAACTGAATAAAAAAAATTTCATGATGAAATCGATATTAAAACAGTTTTAATAATTTTTAAAATCCAAATGATAAAATAAATTGTTTCGCTTTAAAAAAAACTAGAAAAATTACATAAAAAATTATTCCAGCTTTTATTCATTCTTTAATTCTTTAAACATAAATCTGCTGATGAAAAATCATGAATTCATTTCTGGCTTTATGATTTAATACTTTCCAAATAAAAAAGCGTTTCACAAAATTATAAAATGTAAAAAAAACTATACAAATTATACACAAAATTATTCTAGCTATTATTTATTGTTTAAAACATACATCTGTTGATAAAAAACCATTAATCCGTTTTTAAATATGAAAAACAACAATTTTCGTCTGATAAAAGTGGAAATTCAAGGGATTTTTTTGCAATTTTTTGTGATTTTGGAAATTGAATAAAAAAAATTGATGATGAAAATTTTGAATTGAATAATAATTTTTAAAATCCAAATGATAAAATCAAATCAATAGCGAAGTGGTAAAACGGTTTAAGTCAACTTATCTCGCAGTTGAGTTTTTGAGGAATATTTCCGAATCTAAGGGAGATAGCGAAATTTTCGTAATTACATTCGTTGTAGCTCTCAATCGACTCTATAAAAAAGGTTATAACAAAAATATTGCCATCTCCCTTAGATTCCGAGATATTCATTGAAAACTGGCCAATAGTCAAAATTAACTTATACCGTTTTACCACTTGGCTACTAAATTGTTTCGCTTAAAAAAAAACTAGAAAAATTACTCATTATGAAATTATTCATTCTTCAATTTTTTAAACAAATCTGCTGATAAAAAATCAGTTATTTATTTTTGGCTTTATGATCTTTATCTTTCGAATGTTATCTGGTTTTTTTCATCTTTCGTAATGCAAAATTGTCAATTGAGTTGTACATCATGCAGAAATTCCCAAAAATTATGATAGAATGATAAAAAAATAGAAAAAATTCTGAACTTTTTCAAACTGCGTTTTTAATTGAGTTTCAGAATGAGTTGAAAAAAGTGGAAATTACAAATATCTGATTCGCTGTGACAAACTATTATTATTAGCTGTCATTTTCCATGGTGGATAACAAAACACTAACTCCTCATGGGAGGTGACAGCTAGGTATCTCAATTTTCAAAACATTGGTATGTAGTCATCTGCCATTTTTATGCGATAAAAGTGCGATTAAAAAATTCTCCAAAATATTACAACTTTTTTCAAAGAGCCTTTTCCGTAATAAATGTCTCTGTTCAGTGTGGGAAAAGATTTACGAAATCATTTACGAAATGGATGACAGGCCGCCATTTGTCACCGTAAATCAGATAAATTTGTAAATTTCTGGTTATTCAACTAATTCTGAATATAAATTAAAAATGCTCCTTGAAAAAATTAAGAATTTTTTCTACTTTTTTTTGATTATTCATTCATAATTTTTCAAAACTTCTGCATGATGCAGGACTTAATTGACAATTTCAGACGACGAAAGATGAAAAAAAACATCGAGATAGCGTTCGAAAGATAGTACACCCGGGCCTTAATACTTTCCACATAAAAAATAACGATTTTCCTCTGATAAAAGTAAAGAGATTTTTGTTTTATTTTGCAATTTTCATGATTTTGTTGATATATTTTCATACCTAATAGCCGCAAGAGAGGAGGTAGTCACCCAACTTCTCAACGACCGATGCGGCCTGCTGTGGTTGAATTGGATCCTCGTATAGTGATACTACAACAGCCTGCGTCGTCTTCATGCAGTGTACCCCGACTTTTCCCAATTTGGCTCTTATCACACGGTCTGTACCCGACAGATAGATATACCTGTTGCCAGCTAATGTCACACCTGACGACGTCAGAATATCCTGGGATTCAAAACCCTGGACGAGCTTTGCTAATTCCTCTTTGCTCACCTAAAATTCATAACAATCATTGAATCAATAAATTTTCTCTTATTTTTCTGACAATTACAAAAAAATATTTGACTCCTTCATTTCATATCAAACAAAACCATCGGATATTGATTACTCATTTGTTTTATCGCCGTGGCTATTCGCACTACCCTACGCAGCGTGTCACACGCAGTTGATACTAGTTTACAACAATTGAAATAAAAAAGTGTTAATCTTTCATCTTTGATGAAATATGTGGGTGATATGAGAAAGATCTAGAGATGATTAATATCAATTAACAGTTTATTTTATCAATTAATTTAGAGTTGTCAACGATTTAGACTGAAAATTTGTGAAATTGATAAATTTTTCACTAAAGAAAATTTATAACAATTGAAATAAAAAATTGATAATATCTTTGATGAAATATGTGGGTCATTGGGAGAAGTCTAGAACTAATTAACATTAATTACACACTTATTTCATCAATTAATTTCAAGTTTCTAACATTCTTAACATGCAAATTTGTGAAATTAATCAGTTTATCGATGAAAAAAATTTATAAAAATGGAGTAAAATTTTTAAATCACTTTAATGGAGTCCGGAGGTCATTAAGATTGATATAGAATTAATTAACATGAATTAACAACGTTTTTTATTAATTAATTTAGAGTTCTCAAAGTTTTATGATTGAAGTTGTGTAAAATTAATCATTTTTCAATAAAAAATAATAATGATGATCAAAATAAAAGTCGACAAATTCTCTCAATGAACTTTGTGAGTCAATTGCAACCAAAAACTCACCAACATTAATTAACAATTTATTTAATTGATTTATCAAGAGTTCTGATGATTTCAATTCGAAAATGAAATAGAAATGATTATTTTTTATGAAAAAAACAACTGCCTAAAAATTTGAATAAAAAATAAGAATAAATTTGAATGAACTGTGTGCATCATTAAGAAAGATCCAGCAACAATTAAAATTAATTACCAATTTTTTAAATCAATCCGTTGGAATTTTCTCCAATTTTTAACTGAATTCTTACGAAATTAATTGTTTGTAATTATTAAAAATTCATTAAAAAGTGCGACAAAAAATAATAAACAATTTTAAACAACTCTTTCCTTTATTTTCCATAAACTCCAGCCAATCAACATCGATAATCAACATTTATAATTCGTTTTATTGCCTTTTCCGGAATTTTTGTGATTTTTAACGTAAAATTATCGTTTCATTTCAAGCTCTCCCATAAAAAAAAATTCTCCACAATTCTACGTCTCCATTACGTTGAGAAATACTGTGGGAAGCAGATGGAAGGTAAATTGAACGGTATTGTCCCCAGAATTATGGGAATTATAATGGAATATCGTGAATGAGATGGGTAGGAGAGTCTCGAAACCCACTCCGAGATGATGCTGACACTCGGCTGTTGGTAATCGATCACTACCCGAGTTCACCCACCCCCACACGTCTCACCAGGTGCTTGAAAGGGCCAGTGTCCGAGGTGCAAAAGAGGGAGAAAATTCCCGAGGCAGAAGCAATTTCCATCGTTTCATCTGGTGATCGTCAAAAAGAAATTTTCCTTTCGAGAATTCTTGATTTATCTCCAGATGGAGTGGGTTTAAAGGAAAATGTCAGAAATACTTTTTTGTAGCGAATTAAATTTCTAACAAAAATGTTGTTTGGCATTTTCCTCTAAAACCACTCATTACCGAGATAGACGCGCAATTAACAACTAAGTTTGCGAATTTTCCACTGAATTCTATTGATTCCAACTTAAAAATCTCTTTCGTTGAATTTAATTTCTTTCGCTAATTGCGTATGACGCTGAAGTTAGCAGCCGACTTGACAGCGAAAGTTCAGGGCCGTAGCAAGGATCTGTGGGGCCCCATACCTTAATACGAAAACTGAAAATTGTTCCTATTTAAGTTCTAAATTCCGAAATGATCCGGAACAGCCCCCCCATCCTCCACAATATGATCAACCCCTTTTGTTCAGGCCAGGGGGTGGTAGGGAGATGAAAATCTCAATTTTTGTCTTTTTTTGGGAAGAAAAAATTTCTGCACCATAAATAGCCAGAACCATCAGCACATTGTTATGAAAAAAGATTAAACGAAACACCCTCGACCCCCAGGAAAATCATCAAGTCTTTCAGATTGGTCCAAGGGGGTGCTAGGGGGTGGAGAAATGAAATCTTCGCGTTTTTCAGCGGGAAAAAAATTCTCCGACTCATAATAAGGAAAACCACCAACAAATGTTAACGGAAAAATGCTCAGTGCAACTCCCCCTACCCCCAGAAAAATTATCAAGTCTTTCAGAGTGGACCAAGAGGGTGCTAGGGGGTGAAAAAATGAAATTTTCGCGTTTTTCGGGGGAAAAAAAAATCTCCGACTAATAATACGCAAAACCACCAATAAATGTTGATGAAAAAATACTCAGCGCAGATCCCTCAACCCTCAGAAAAATTATCAAGTTTCTCAGACTGGTCCAAGGGGGTGCTAGGGGGTGGAAAAATGAAATTTTCGCGTTTTTCAGGGGGAAAAAAAAATCTCCAACTAATAATAAGCAAAACCACCAACAAACGTTGATGAAAAAATATTCAGCGCAACTCCCTCAACCCCCAGAAAAATCATCAAGTCTCTCAGACTGGTCCAAGGGGGTGCTAGGGGGTAGAAAAATGAAATTTTCGCGTTTTCCGGGGGGAAAAAAAAATCTCCGACTAATAATATGCAGAACCACCAACAAATGTTAATGAAAAAATACTCAG